GCAACATTTTGTCCTAGCTGCGTGGGCTACTGACAGGGCACCCTGGCCTAGGACCCTTCTTCCCTAGCCGCCCGCACGGCCTGTGCCAAATGGCTGTTGCTCAGCACAAAAACACGCAGGCCAAACTACAAGCTTAAAGACTACCTTGGCACTCGCTATGCCTATGCGCCCGGAACTGCTGCATCACGCCCTGCCCTCTGCGTGCTACGTAGCTTCGGCACACCGGGGCAACAAGGCGATTGACCGAATTGGATGAAGCGTGATTTGCGTTCAGCTGAGTGTGATCACTTCCTCAGAAGAGCAAGGTACCCAACAGAACTTGAGGGGCGAGACGAGGCCAACGAAAGCTTGCCAGGCTCTATCTAGCACTGGAGTAGGGTAGAAGCGGAGGAGGGAAGGTACATGCCAGCAAAACGCGCAAACCTCGGTAAGGGGCCTGGAAAACCCTTTGCAGAACCGTGCCAAGTGTCCACTTCTCTTTGTACTTCACTGTACACTCCAGTTTCCTTTCCAGCCTTCTCCTCCCCACTTTCCCCATTCCCAGTCCTGGCTCCACGTCTCACTCCACCCTCCAGTCGGACTCTGACTTTACTCTGGACTCCACCCTCACTCCAGAGACCACTCCAGTTTCCACTCCACTCTTATTCACTTTCTGCATTACTCACCACTCCACTGTGCAACGCGCTCTCCTCTCCACTCTCCAGTCGATACTCCGCCCTCCACTGCCTTTCCACCTCACTCTCCAACGCTTTCCACCTGACTTTCCCCTCAAACCTGTCCCTTCCACTCCATTCCCTTCCGCAATGGCGCAAGTAGCGTAGTCCCGGCATTCCCTGACGTCTAAGAACAGGCACGAAGATGGCGAGTCTCATTGTCCCATCTCGACCACAGGGTCGCATGCGACGAAGACACGAGCAGGTATGTGCATGGCAAACTGAGGGCGCCCTTGCCTGCGACAGTGGGCATGTCTTACATGAGGTGAAGACACGAGGCTCCAAAAGTGGCGACAAGGTCTTATCCCTATCACTTTTCATGCGCAACAAGGACGTGACCCTCCAAAAGCAGATGAAGTTACCAAGATTGCTACCCCAAGATGCAGTATCCCTGTGACTGTTGGCACTCATGAACTTTTCACACGCCACGAATCAGCAACACTTCCCCCCCCCCGCCCCCCCGGCCCGGCCCCATGCCCCGTGACTGTGTGCATCTTTGACACGCGACGCAGCAACGACGGTCCAAAAACGCTTATACGAGGATGGTGACGGCGCGGATGCTTGGAAACGCTTGCGAACACTTGTAAACCCTTTGTGGACGCTTTGCGGACACGTGCGCAAGGACCCCTTCTTCGGAGCACTAAGCAACAGGAAGGTTGCATGGAACAACAACAAGCAAGGAACAGCATGACCACACAACGTCGGGAACATTCTGAAAGGTTTGATTCAACCACGAAGCGTGAACTTACCCGCGCTCTAGCCAGAAAAGGTCATAAAGAGAAACAAGATTGAAAGCAACCACAAAGCAAAATGGTGCTCGTACAAAGAGCACACAGGAAACAAGCACCAAAAGAGGAGAAGGCGACATGCAACGACCAGGCATGACGTGCTTGGTACCATGACCGTTCAAGGGCATGCACTATCAAAGGAGTAGGGAGCGTCAGTACAACCATCGAGCTTAATGCCCTTCGCGAGCACTACTGGAGTGGCCAGGTCTCACTAAAACAAGAAATAGCTTGTTTCAGGACCGAGCAAAGGTATCGAACACAACAGAGGGAGGGAAAGGCGCAATGCAACAACCCGGCATGATGATGCTTGCCGGGTAGTGATCACTACAGAGGGGCCAGCGAGGTTTGACGCAACGACCAGCACGGCTTCTGTGCATCATGACTTGGCAAGGGTTGTGAACACCAAGGGGAGCAAAACCTTTAAAACCACCAGCACCATGTTATCCGTATTGTGAACTTGCTGGGGTATGGCAAACGATAAAACAAGTATATAGGAAGGTTTGATGCGACTACCACACACTTACCATGACCATACAACCGTCGTGAACGACAGGCAGAGTACAGCCGGGAAGTTAGATTTGACCACCAGAAGGGACGTGGGAGTTCAGGAATAGAAAATTAAACTGCTTAACAACAGGGAAAATTAAACTGCTTAACAACAGGAGGAGCACAAGCACTTATGGAAATACAAAACGCATCAACAGGTGAAGTGAAGGTAGGAAGGACAGGAGTGGAAACAGGAACAGGAGCAGAACCCAATATGCATCATATTTCTGAACAGTATGTAGGTGGGAGAACGCAAGCACGTAGATTTCAGTCAGGAGCTTCTTTTTGGACGCCGACAGGAGCATATTATTCAGATACGGATATATCACAGGGCATACGCTAGCAGATCATTAAACATCAAGACTTCTCAGGAAATCACTCTCAGTGTTCAGTCTAAGAAGGAAGCAGACCCTACAACAGCAACCATAGCAGTGATATAACTCGAATCTGGCATTAGTGAAAGAACCGCCATAAAAAATACAAACGCTAGATTATGAGAAGAGCGGGCGCTAATAACAATTTACCAACAGCGGAAATAGACAGACGGATAGAATCGGATAGAACATCTGACCTCACAACAGGAACAACAGCCAGCATTGCAACTAAACGACATTCTCAGAATTACAGTTAATAGAGCAGTTATAAATACTCGATCATTTAGTAGTAAGTATTGGTAATATTGTTGGAAAGGCGGATGTCACTGCTTGGGGCGGTTTATGTTTCAGAACAGCAGTGAATGTAAAGAAGCATTGGACGCACAGAATAAGTTATTTGTCAGAAACAGCGATGCCTTAGGACAACCATCAACTTCCCACGAAGTCAGGCAAGCTCACCCAACGCCCAAACCAACTGGTCCAAAACAAGCCATCTTGGCATCCAACAAGAGTTGAACCAAGGTGGCTCTGGCATCGTCCACGTAGATGCTGCAAGTTTGTTGGTCTTTCCAATGTCCCTGGACCATAGTCCGACCCAAAGATTGCGTTTGCTGGTAGAAGTGGGTGGCTCCTCCGCGGTGAAGGCAATAGGGAAGATAATCTGCAGGAGCCAAACCCACAGATTCAACCATTCAACCAACGCAGCAAAGGCGGAGCGGAAGGAAGCCACGGAACCAGCGTTTGTTTTTCAGACCGGACCTTAGTCCACAGGAAAGAGAGCGCATGCACCAGGTCAGGCTCGTGAAGTGAAAGAGATTGTTGCAAGCCTCTGGGCTTCTGGAGTTGATGCTTGCGATCACCACTGTGCTCTGGTCTTGGAGGCGGACACGGTGGAAGTGCAAAGAAACCAGCTCCATGGTGCACAGGAAAAAGGCGAAGCCAACGACCCCCGGGTTTAGCGAGCTCTGGTCGCCCAACTTTCCAGGCAGCCCAGAAGTCCTACTATATAAGTACAAGTAGCAATCAAAAATGTCAAGTGTGAGTTTGCTCTGGCTCCAGAAGGCCACTGGAGGCAGTGCTAGCTAATTTGAATCACGGGCATTGAGGTTTTTTCGGGCTGTCTATGCCACTCATGTCAAAAATCAGGCTCCCAACAGCGGGAAAGTATTTAAAAAAGAGGCCTGCGATGCATCTGAATGCAAGCGACCTGGGAGATGCGTTGCCGGGCCAGCGCCTTCCTTCGCCTTCCTGAAGCTGGCACATGCCGGCACGCAATTCTCCAGTGCTCCGAGACCTGATCAATATGCCACTCCAAAAACATCACAACAAAAATCTGGAAACAACAAGCATGGGCAAACCAATCCTTCAAAAAGAATGCAGCGCGTTCTTTTCACGTTGGGGATATGATCGCGTAGGATTGCAGCTCCTGAAGGCTGCCGTTGTCGGAGATGAACTCTTACTCTCAGACGATTTGTTCCTGCGCTCGCCAGGGACGCAGACAGCTCTGCTTTGATTTTGTCTCCTGTCTGTGATGCTTGTCAGGGTCTGCATACCCCTGGATCTGGAGCCAACAGGAAGGAAACAACCGCCGCAGCGCTGCTGAGGCAGCTGTCTATCACAAGGTGCCCTTTTTAAGGCATTGAACCCACTTGATTGATGCATGTGATAGGGCTGGCCAGCGCATCTGCAGGCTCTGAATGGTTCAAAAGTGTCAGCAATGATGGAAACCTTGCCATTATTGCTGCTTGACAAGATTGCTTACAGACTGGCACCCGCGCCTGGAATGTGGACAGCCTTTACTTGACCCAGACTACGTGGCATGAAGATGTCGATCTCGGCACGTCCACATCCCGTTGGGTATTGGGATTGAGGCGCTGGGGAAGCACAAAGTGACATAGATGGCCACAGAGGGCGCAGCTGCTACGCAGAGATCTCTCTCTTGCTCTCTTTGCAGCCAGGCCGAATGCAAAACCCGCGGCTACTGAACAAAAATTTGGAACTCACGCATGTTTTCAAGCTCCCTCAAGAGATTAACCTGCCCGCACCATCAGCTGGCTGCTTCTTGCTCATACATCCTGATCTTCTTCTTGATCATGCTAGCTGATCAGTACTGGTACCCAACAAAATCAGAGCTTGTATGGACCAGTGGCCCTTCCAACCCTAAGTTGAGCCGCGATGAGGATGACGAAGCAACCCGCTGCTGCTAGTGTAGTATTGGCTAGTGCTGGGGCAGGGAACGAATCCAAACAGTCCACAAATATACAGTGAGGAAGGGCATGTAAGTTTTCATTCACATGTTGTGGACTGCCGGAGAAGTGCAGGTACGCAGCTTTGAATGGCTGCTAGTTGCAAGGGATCCATCACAGCTTCTAGCACTATCTCGTCTGGATTTGCTTCCGTGAGAGTGCGAGGGTTGTTTTCAAAAGCCAGGTCGTTTCGGGAATCGGCTGCGGATCCCTTCCTTGTATCCAAGAGATAGCAAAGGAAGGTCATCAGGGCTCCAACGGAGAAATCAGAAATGTTTTGCTTAGGGAATGCTTGGTTGGGTTAGCCACTCCGATCTACTCCTTGGAGCGCGGTCACGCAAAATGCGTTTTCACTTGAAGGTGTAGTGGCTCGCGGTTGGGATCCATGAAGTCCAAAGGGATGTGCGTCTCCTAAGCACGCTCGGCTCAGCTCTCGCACTGCACGGAAAATGCTGACATCAAAAAAGATTCTTGTTGGAGGAGGCTCTGCAGCTCAGCAGGATGCACCCCTCTAGATTTAAGTTGATGAAGTTCGCAAGCAAGTCTCCCAGCTGTTGGTCGTAGTGCCCAGTATCTGCTGCGACATCAGGGAGCCCACGGCCGGGGCAAGCTTGAAACCATGACCGGAGAAGCCGTTGCAAAGGAAGTAGTTCCTCAAATCATGTTCAGGCACGTGAAGATCCTGCGCTTTCCCTATCTTTGAGCACGATTCATGGCAGGCTGCAACAAGATGTCACCCGCATCCGCCCCTGCCCAAACAACCATGCAACAATCCAGCGACGTAAACAAGTGTAGCCTGCTGCTCCACCCACCCCCATGATTGACATCAAATCTTATCGTATCTTGTGGCCCGAGCCCTAACAGCAAGCAGGAAAAAACGCCTGTACCTGAACTAACACTTATACCTGGCCCGTGCAGAAAGGCGGCCTGGACAAATCTTCGACAGAGTTATCATTGTTTGTGACATGTTGTGGCTATCAGATGGTCTGCTTTATGTGCGTCATCCAAGACTCTTCAGCTCCTTGGCCGGCCCAATGACTGGGTGAACATCCTCCTATCTCCGGGAAGGCCACTGGCACTGTCTTCATCTAATCAAGGCCTAGGTGCAGCCAGAACTACTTCCACCGATCCCAGCACAGTGTTCCATAGGTTGATGACCCCTCACCTGCCGCAAGCGGCAGCTCAGCCCACGGTCCTGATTCACGGTGTACATGTGGGAGAACCCTTGGATGCCCCCGCTCTGCGGCAGCGTTGGGCACCGATGAAAGAGACAGCCGAGGTAGTCCGCCTCAAGTAGCCGCGTTCAAAACCTAATTAATCAAATCGGAATATGTGCCTTAACGTCCGGATCCAGGGCCTCGTTGAAGTTGTCCTGGCAATGCCAGCACAATTCTTCAGGAGCTGCACCAGCCTGGTGATGGCCTAGCCCTAGTTGACCGTCATAGCGCAAAGCCTGTAAGCTGGACTTTGACTTCGGCCCTTTCTGCCCTCGGAAGGCATTGCGGCCTCTGGTACCCTCAGTCCTCTGTTAACATACTGCTCCCATCGCCGGCCGACAATGAACAGTGAAATGGCAAAAGCCGCCATGCCACTTCAAATGACTGAGCTGTTGCAAAACCGCTCCATTCATGCTGCCAGGCAGGTTTGCAGCTTCAAGTACATCCAAAGTTGGGCTCTGTGCATTGCATGTGTGCCCCTAGTAGGAAAACTGGCGCCCCCACATACCCAAGACCTACTTCACATTATCGTTGCATGGTTGTGACACTGATCAATCACCGGTGTCCGGATCCACCAGCTCGGACTCGAAGCGGTGGGCGACTGAGCCGAAGACCAACTGCTTGTTCCCCCGTCGGGGCATAAAGTAGATACCTTCACAAACAGTCCAGATTGTAAGCTGCATATGCAGCACGAACCATCAATCACTACATCAACGTACCTGATCAGCGTGGAAATTTTGGAAGTCCATCTCAATAAGCCTAATCCCTGCCTTACCCCTTTCTCTGGCCTCATAGCTCGACGCAACAGGTAAGACCAAGCTGTACTGTAGAGTGAAAGGACGGCTGGAGATCAACAACATAAGGTATTCCGTTCTTAGCTAGTTAAGTCTTACAACTCGCTGAACCCATCATATGTTTTACATATGTTCCTCTGCATTGCTGCTACTGAAAAAAGGAGAGGCTCATTTGAGATCTGGCAAACGAATCCTCAACAACCCTCATCAACATCGTCCTTTTGAAAATTCGGTTGATGAGTTCCCTAGGCCAAAACACCCTACACTTTCCACGCTAGTATTTTTTGGTAATGCTTGCGGCGATTCATGTTGACCGATGAACAGTATCATCCGGGCAAGCTGTTCACCAACAAGCTGTCAGGTGCTTGCAATTGCACGAAAAGGAGAGTGGCGGAAGGAAGGGGTCACGGAGCGTGCATGATCTACCCAAGGCAATAGCAAGAGTGCAGCTGAAAACACTGCAAATTCCACAAGCTGATGCAAGCATGATCAGAATCCGTACGAGCTGGTATCACAATTTCGGTTTGTGGCTTGGCCCATTCTCATGTCCTCTTGAGATGATCGGTTGCGGGTAGCAGGTGCACAAGCCCATGACGAACGCTGCACTTGTATTGGACGAAGTTGCACACACAAGAATGGACGTGCCAAAGCACGGTCCGTCGAACGTAGATATTCAGTGAGCCTTCTTGGGAGTCTGACTAGGCATATGTTTGAATGTATTTGAGTTGCAAACCTGCCGTACGCTGAAAAGTCAAGATCTAGATTTTGGACTTGAGTTACTATATCTGATAATTGATGCTGAAGGTGCCACTGTTGCCCCAGGCGTCGGCTACAAAGGGGAGAGAGAGTAGCTTCTCGTCGTCTGGCAACGTCAGGTGACCCACCTTCGGTAAGGCTCTTGGAAAGGAGCGAAGCATGCACATTTGCCAAACTGAAGGCGCACAAGGTTGAAAGTGGCCGCCTGGATACGAGTCGGCAACATCTGGGTGGACGTCTTCACCCCCACCGTCTCCTGAAACTCAAGTTACTGAAATGCTAAGACCAGCGCTTATTGAGCTGTGCATGGTTGTGCATGTGCTAACATATCCCTTCCCTTTCTTGAGGGCTTTTTTCCCTTACGCCGCCGAGCAGCATTCAAAGACTGAAACCATGGGCCAGCACAGTTCAGCACGCAGCCAGCTGAAACTGTGGATCCGTCATACCTTACCGCTCACGCATCATCAACAACTTACTGGGGTTTTGAGCATGGCCTGGCATCAGCGAGTAAAAAAGAACTGGTGCAATCTTTGTCCACGTTGCAGTTTCACACCCTCCGCTTTCTCACCGCTTCCACTGAGGATCTGCTGGACACGGGTATTAAACACAACCTCCACGCCAACTCGTTCACAGGCTTTGTGAATGTCCCGTAAACAGGCTGAACTGTCCATGTGGCCACAACCATGCTCGTAGACGGCCCAAAGGTCCCCCCAGTCCCTTTCCACAATGTCGCCTGTGTCGTTGAACTCCGGGAAGGGATCAGTGCTAAGTGCTGGAAACTTCTGAGCAATGCCGTCTGCATCCAAGACTTCGGACTCAACCTGGTACTTTCGCAAGCGATCCTGGATAACCAGATTCTCGGCTTTGGACTTGCCTAGCATCCATAGAGCTCCAGTGTGAGTGAAGTAGGCCTGCCAAAACATTCGCAGTTGCGGAGCTGCAAAGCTTTCAATACTGCTGCCTGAAAAAACGGCAGCAGATTTTATCTGCTATTCTTTCAAGAGGCTGTTCACTCCTGTTAGTCTTCATTCCACTTCAGACCAGCTATTGTCTAGAGGAAGTTGTCTTGAAAACCCGCGGAGGACAATCCTCTGCTATCCTTTCCTGGGGAGATGCTCTGGAGTCTTATTGTCTTGCTTGAGCAAGCCCACGTCTTGTTCCTTGGGGATGCAAGACGTCTTTTTGCCAGATTAAAATGTACTCGAAACTGTTGTTCGCCTGAGCTGTGAAAAGACAACTGATTGACGCCACAGATCTAAGTGCCCATTGCTTTGTTTCCCTTCAGGTCGCATGAACCTTGCGCTCGCATGCAAACCCTTTGCCTCTGCTTCCTCCCCGAGTTCTGTGTAAGCTCCCCAATTCTTGTAGGCGTGGATGCCATCCAGGGCAAGCTGCATGGTGTTGTCGAAGGAGTAAAACGCACGCAAGAAGCCTCAGCAGCAACCGCAACCTCAACCAAAACAACATGAACGATTCGTTCCAACCCATCCGGAATGTCCAGCCTGTACGAGACAGAACTGAGGCCTCCAAAGCCTGTAGACTGAGGCTGCCAGGGACGGGTTTATGGTATGTTACATCTACCTACTATGGAAATGCTGTGGCTACGCTCGCCGCCGCCGCTGCCACCACCAGCACCTCCACCACCATCACGGCCACCTTCTCCCCACCCCAACAACAGCAGCGAAAGCAGCTGGTGCCTGGAGCAGTAGCAGGCAAGTGCTGCATTGCGGGGCGGGGAAGCATCAGCATGTGTCATTAACAATGATGAGTAGCCCGTGCTCCAACCACTGGATCCGAAGCCAAGGCCCGGGGCACGCTCCAGGATCCTCACCTGGCTCATGTGTTGTTTTGCTGGTCCCAAATGCACGTGGACTCACTCAATTTGCCCCCTACCAAAACGGTCAACGTGTAAGCCTGTGCAAAGCAGTCCCTTACAAAGACGCCTCCAATGCGGAGCCTGACTGACACATCATCTTGCATGCGTACGAATCCGGCTGCTCCATAACCAACGGCTTTGCAACAGAAGCCGAAGCAGCAGCAGCAGCAGCAGCAGCAGCAGAAGCAGCAGCAGCAGCAGCAGCCGCCGCCTCCGATTGCAGCAGCCTGATCCGGGCGCCGACTCAGCAGTCACCGCTGGAGGACAAGGAATGGAAAGGTGATCATTGGATTGGTGCTGGTGCTAGAAGACAGGGTAATCAAGGGGTCAGTAGCATTGGAGGAGGACAAGGCAATGTTGGAGGTATGGGATCCGCAGCCAGCGCTGAGTGGTTATGAGTTGGATTAGTTCCAACTGTGGCTGTCACGCGCGCCCTTGTCCCACGCACACTGCCCATGCCAGCTGCAGGCATGACAGGCTGAAAGGCATATCCTGTTGCACCAGATGCATGCCAACACGACGGTGCTGTTGTTTTGAGAGATGAAGCAAGCGCCAGCACACCACGAGCAGCATGAAATGAGCGGCGCCGGCCAAGCATCGGTCCACGAGGCGCCAGCCAGCTAAGTGACATCACCTCCCCGGCGCATCGCCGCGCGGTGGCGACCCGTAGAGGTGGCTGAGCCTGCCCCTGTACTGCCTATACTCGGTGCGGATCCGAGCTATAGCCGCCAACGTAGCTCTTTCAGGCAGGCCACACCTAAGGAGGACTGTTGCCACACAAGTGGTTCAATTGCATTTGAATAGCTGCATCTATCGGCGGTGTGAAGGCACTGCCTATGCGTACCAAGTTCACTGTCTTCGCGGAGAGTAGACTAGGGCATGATTTTGCAGAGGCTGATGTGACTTGGACCGGGCAGAATGTTTGCAGAGGTCGATTTCGATACCTTGGCTGCTTTCCCTGCTAGTAGCTGGCATGCCAATGATGGTTTGTGCTCCGATGGCAAGAGCGTGATCCTGCAAAATTCAGGTGACATTTCAGGTAGCTTGGCAGATTCCGTTGTCCTACACTCCAATATGCTTGCCATTGTGCGAGAGGGCTGCGCTCGGATCCATCTCAGTAAGGCCGTTCGGATGATGCTGTTACTAAGATTGGGGTGGACCTGGTGCCAAGGAACCAGATTAGACGGATGGCTGAAAAACTTGGCACAAGACAAGCTGCATGATAGCCCCTCAGGGAATACACGCGGGATGAGCAGATGTTTGCTGGTGCTTCGGAGATTTTGCCTTTCCTGCGCAGTTGTGCTATAGACGGTGTGAGCTGTTCACCGAGCTTCATGACTTGGTGAGCCACCTGCCCCTTATCCTGGCTGAGAGACTGCAGAACATGCCGCCTTGAATTTGTGCAATGGCAGGTCGCAGATTTCTTACTGATGGCCCCAGTTGTCCATGGAGATTCCCATAGTCACTGCCGAAGTCATTCAGCAGAGACGAAGAAGTTCATTCCCCAACTGCTTGCACTTTTTCGCGCCTTTGCGCATACCGGCATCAATCCAGAATGCGAATTTCTGTGCAGTCCAAAGCACCTTTGCCGCCTTGACTCCCATGCACTTAGACTGTTGCATCCCAACCACACCTCTGGCTTCAGCACTGACCATTTACCAAACACCAGATCGCCCATGCTCTAAGAACCGCGCTCAAGAAACCCTTTCTCTTTAGATCTATGATGATCTATGGAATAGGTGACTGTCATCTGGCCCCATGCAACAGCATGTCACACTTCATCAGAATGCCTCTGTATAACTGACGCTGTTCAAAGCCGTTGGTAACGCAGTGCCGGCAGTTGGCCCCTACATGCTTTCAGGGAAGGCCTGCCTTCAGCGAGGGATCTCGACGCTTCATTTGGTAGGCGACATTCAGACCCATGATGCCAGCCCCTACCTGAGCAGCTGTTGGCAAAGGCCTCTCCTAGCTGCAACAGCAGTCAACAGTAGTACTCTTCCATACACCTGGTCAATCAGATTATGCTGAATCTAAGTCCTTCTTTTGGTGGCAGATGTTGACCAACCCTAGCACGCTGCAGCTCTGTCCTTCTTGGATCTTCTTATAGCACAGAACACATAGCTGGAGTTTTCTAAGCTTCCAAAAATTTGAGCTCAAGGGGCATCGGTGTTGGGTTTCCCCTATCGGTAAAAGCGGTTGCCCGAAGACGAATTCCTTGCATGTAGATTACCTGATTACCGCTTGTGGCTCATTCGTCCGCAGCTGCTTCCGCGAGTCTCTCTTTGCCTTCCTCACCGCGGCAGACCCGCGATTGACATTACAGAAGGTAGCAGATTTACCATGCTGTTCAAAGATTGACAACACCCACGCGTTCTTGAACGATTACTTAACTGTTCCCTGTGCCCGAAGCCCCTAGTGTACAACCCCTAGAAGCTACATTCGCCATGCTAATAGAAGCGAGTGCGCAATGCGAGGCTTCAGCTCCATGCGAGGAATTCTGCGCATAACCCCCTACTTGAGAATCTTGCTGGCAAGCAAAACCAGAAACGCGAAAACAAAGGCACAAACGTCAAGGGTTGCTGCTCATCGGATTTGGTTTGCGGTGTTTTGCGGTTTCAGCTGGCTTTCTTAGGAGGCCTGGCAGCACCGGAGATTTTTAGGATGTCAATTTAATAGTGTCAAGAACGGTTGCTCATTCCACATCTGAGGCGACAAGTAGTAGCAGACACGATTAAAAGCAGGCCACAGGGTCACAAGTGCGAGAGCAAAGAAGGCAGGATGCCCAGAGAAAGCCAGGATACAACGATAAAATAACGAAAAGAACTGAGCCAACACACCAAAAGCTAACTCTACGTCGGGTATGCGTAGCGCTCCATCAAATACAGCTTTTCACCTGCCGGTTCATGATGTGACCAGCACCATCCAACACCACGAGACTTGATGATGGATTCGAGGTACGATGCAAACATCCACAGCGTTTGAGGAAGGCCCTGAGCTGAAGCTGCGGGTGGCAAAAGTCCGCGGCTGGCCCGCGCCGCCCATGCTGGTTGCTGCCCGGAAGTTTGCAGAGCCTGCGGCGGATGCAGCTTGCGTCGTATCATCTGAAAATCTTCTTGCTGGCTTCAGCACAGCTGACGTAGCAGGCATTAAGCTGGAACCGGCAGCACAAAAGCCTCGCAGCTGCGACAGCAGGAATTAGCCACACCCCTCGCTACGATCAAAAAATCCATGCCCTTTCGTTTTCTAATGAAGCTGCAATCAACACTACTGGCTGAGGGAATCGGGGAGTCACGCTTCGGATCCCACAATGTGGGTCCTAAATACATCACAAGCATCATCAAGCGACGAAAGCATGGAAAGGATCAGAAGATTGTTTGGGATGACAGTCGGCCCGAGCTGCTGGACACATCTTCCCGGCGAGGCTGAAGCCATGAGTCGATCAAACCACATGTATTTTAGGCTGATTCAACTGAATCGATACCCTCCAGCCGTTGCTGTCATACATAAAACCATGAAGCAAGCGGGGTAAGTGATCACCGCTCACAAAAGGATCACCAACAATAAGGAGACTGGAAGATCATTCTGCCGTGGAGACAAAACATCCGTAACATCCTGCGAGGCCTGCAGCAGGCCCTTGTGCAATTCCGCAGAAAGCACCGAATCGTTGTCCGATGGGTTTCTGGGTGGATGCCTGCTGGCTCATCAGCCTCAGCGTCCCCATGCAGACACGCACCCACATCCAGCTTTTAGCACCAAGCACAGCAGCTTGCGATGATCTCGTTTTGCTTACAGCTACCATCTTGTGCTCCAGCAAAAGGCGGCTCAACAAGAAAACTGGGTTCGAATGTTCAAGCCCAGGCAAGCCACCCACGTTAGCACTGGACATCTGAATGCCTGAAATTACAAATCAATGGGGCCAATCCTGATGGACATGCAATCTGTTGCAGATCACAAGCCACTGTTTTGGACATGACTTTTTTTCGAGGGCGCGGATCCTGTCAATCAACAAACCTCATCCAAGGCCCCAGCTGCACCATGTCCTTGATTGGCATCTGCCTGTCCTGCATGATGTCCTAAGCTGGGAGTTGGCACCCCAAAACATTGGAGTCAGAGCTAGATTCTGAGAGAATGGATTCAAAATAATTCCAAACCTCGATCCGGCATCAAGGGCTTCTGCAGTCTTGTTGTGAATCGTGGAGCGGGTAAACTCGTAGATGGACTCAGGCACAGCTTCTTTGAAGCCCTTCAGGCGGAGGTGGAGTTTAATCTTTTCCGGCACAGGGCCCCCACTGAGCAAGAAAGACTTGGCATGCTCATGATAAAACATGACGAAACAGATCCCACGCATATAGGTTCACTAGCAGGATGCGTTGCTGGATCAGCGCAGGAATATGAAGAATGTGCCTTTGACCTACACCTGCGGATACCTCTGGATTTTGCCCAGGCAGAGAAGGCCTTCGGGTCGAAGTGTTCCAGGGAATCAGCGATGACAGCGCCAGCAGACGTGATGCTCTCAGGGATGAAGATTCCGCCCCGGGAGAGGAAGGCATTCTGAGCCTCTCGGCCATGAGGAGCTGAGATGCTAAGCACACGTGCAGTATCCATCTGAGCCTCTCGGCTGGCAAACGGAATATTTGCCGCTCCGCAAACGGCCTGCGCAAAGGGGAAGCTGCAGTGAAAGTATGCAGGCTACAAGCCCGGGGCGAAGACTAGACGCCATCCGTTCATACTGTTGAGTGTTAATCACATGTTCGGATTTGTCCACGCCCTTGTCGTCTTCTTCTTTCTTGATCGCTGCTACTTTCATGAGAGTATGCAATACCGGAGTAGCTGTAGCAGTAGCTGGTCGGTGGATGGTGGTGGCTAGTGACTGGCTGGTGGCTAGTGGCGACGGAGGCATTACAGTAGCACTTCTACTGACACTAGTTGTGGTAGCCTTCTCGCAGCTGTGCACAGATTGCAGGGGAGCCAGGCCAAACCATGCTTGCTGGTTCTGACTTGCGGAGTCTATCTCGCACTGACTCGCTCTCTTTGGTTGTCTGTAGCTTTTGCTTTAGGGTTGGGGGCCTCGGCGTGTGCGCCTTCCCTGCATCTGTGCAGTTGCAAGTGTTCTGTCTGCGACGGTTGATTAAGGTTCCGAGTTCACAAACAACACCGCAAACAATAGCTACACAATTGAATGCCTGATGGAGTGGGTTCCTTGTCCCTGTTCAGAAAATTTCAGAAATTCCTATTTTGGTTCCAAAAGGTTCGCACCAAGGAATTGTCAGGGCTCCTGAACAAGGGTGTTGAGGTTGTATGTGCTTCACGAAGGATACGAAGCATTTGGGTTGTCTCTCTTCCTGCATGGCACTACTCGGACCTTTGCAGGCAACGCCACTGCGCTGTCTTTGTCGATGAGGCTGCTGACGCTACCTTTGCTGTCGCATAGCCCCAGTAGCAAAGCGACACAACACCTGTCATCCCACAGCACCTAGGACCTAGGACCTAGGACCTAGACCGTACCTAGCCCAAGCCCACCAAGCCCACAAGCCCAGGCACATGGCACGAAGATGTCATGCTCCGGAAGCTCCGCCAGGCTTGAGGCGTACTTTGGGTCTCGGAGTTGCTGGGCGCCTGCGGACTTCAACTCTCAGAGCATCAGTGAGGGGATTACGAAGGACTGTGGGCAGCTGAGTTTGGGAATTCATGGCGATGGGCCCAGCCATGATAATTACTCTGCCATTCGGGCAACCAATTCTTCAGCTGAACTGTGGTCTTTATTCTTTTTCAAAGTCCTTCTGGCGGTTTTACGGCAACATGTTTTTGAACATGCTTCAGCGAGCGCTTCCGCAGCGCACTTGTCGAGCGCATGCAGCAAGACTGCCTCTGCGAAGAGAAAACTGGGAACTTCAAAGCGTGCCAACGGTATGTTTGCATGACGAGGTAATGGCACGTGAACTTGACCTCCGCGGAAGAAACCCTTCCGCGGAAGCTTCCGCATGCTTCCACACGCACAGATTTGTTGACATTCGAGTGCTCCAGCTTGGGCTTGTTTCCCTACTTGAGAACTGTAGCAAGCGTAAGCGCATAAGGAACCAAAGCTCAGCTGAACCCCTGAAAGCTAAGCTTTCCTAAGACAAGCTTGGCTGGCCAAAAAGCGACCCCAGCCAATGGGCCCGAACATGTTGGGCTTTTGAGCGCAAAGATCACACATGCCCCGTGTTGCGGACAGGAGAGCTGCCAACAAAAAACAAGATCATCCTTGCAAGCCATAAGGGGGGATTTGCAGAGGCACGCCACACGCAAAGGTAACTACACAAGCATAAACAAGCAAAAGCAACTAGACATCAAAAGCAAAAGCCAAATCGCAAAACTTGTTTTGCGCAGCGTCGCGCGTGTCGCACAGCATCAGGATGGGCCCCGCGTCCATGCCATATCGCAATGCCCCGCATGGCTGACAGCCATTATTGACAAGCGAGAACTAACCCATACTGCTACACGAGAGCATAATTCAACAGCAACCCGGCTTAGAGCATTCCCATCGCAAATCAACTCCCAATCTCAACCCTGGCCCATAACCAGCCATTTTACACATCCTTCTTAGCAAGCAGGCTTGCTCTTTCCCAACCAAACGAAGATTCGTGGGTAAGCTTCCCCGCCGCTGCAGGTGCCTGGTATTGCCATCCGTTCTGGGTCAACATCATAGACACTGACGGTTGCACCAGACGCAAGTAGCTCGCGCGCCACAATGCTACCCACATTCCTGCACTGAAACTGGTAATACTTACTTCTAGTATCTGCGATGACTTAACAAAAAAAGACTGGATAAGAAACGTACCAACCAACCCAGACTCCCAAGGCCGTGGACAACGAAACTGCTTGCTTGCAAGCCCCCAAATCGGCGCTCTGCCAGCGCTGCCAGAGATCCAAGGACACCATGAGCCGTTGCTGCATTTGGATTCATCGCCAAGTTCGGGATGCCGGCAAGGACATAGGGGCTCTGACCTGGCCAGAAAACAGCGCATCTGTTCAAGCCATAGCCGCGATCTACACTTGGCCAGAGTTTCCTGAGAGCACCCTCCTTGATGTTTGGTCTTCTGAGCGCTGTACTTGCAAGCAGCTCCATGTCATCCAGGTCGCTATTCATATCACAACCTTCAGGGGGACCAGCCCCAAAATTAGGCAAAGAGCCCGAGCGCTGCCTCTCTACATGCTGCATGTATCGTTTAGGCCAGCAGGTTTGCTCCTTGATGCTTTATGGGCAAAAGATTGGAAATTCTAGTTCCAGATTAAACAGCTTCAGGTGGAGTTGCTGCTTGACGTACAGGCGCTTAGGTATTTGCGGGGCACTAGTAAATTTCTCAAATTCTCATCTGTGATTGCTCACTGCGGCCTGGCCTAGCCTAGCGATGCCTAGCGGCATTGCGACAGCGAGGATGTACAGTCTCTCTTAGTCGCATCCAGTTTGACAAACAGCAATGAAGAATGCATGTACTCACATGAGCCCTAAAGGCTTGTACGGAGGGCTGATCTCAAGAGTCAGAGTGATTGGATTCGGGACCCTCCGAAACCACGGAGTTGATGATGCGCGAAAAGCACCCAAAGCCCTCCGCAAAACAACATTGTCCGATCTTGGACATGCCCCGCCAGTGTACATGGTGCCATCGAGATCGTTCAGCACGTGGCCCAGTTGCAGCATGAGGGCCTGGCTTGACTTCTTTAGATATGTTTCCGCTCCCGGAATTTATAATGTGTCCCTCTACAGGCGTCCCTCAAGGATTGGCGGCTAGAAGAGGTCCACGCTGTTCCTAACTGGCCTTCTTGTCGATGGTGAGCCTGTTCTCGTGGCTGGTCGTATTCACCACGACCTGCGTCATCATGCACTGGCTGGCTTGTCTGAGACCGGGCCCAGACATGCCCCTTTCTAACATGACCTTTGAGAATACTGGAAGCGGCATCAGGCTATCCGTTGAGAGACTCCCCAGCCTTGGCACCGGCAAAACCAGTGTTGTACACGGCATGCTTGTTCTCCATGCCCTGGGCAAGACCTATGGCCTCCGCAATGGCTGAGTCGGTGTCCGCATAATCCCAAATTCGCAGGCCACCATTGCCTAGCGCTGTCGAAGCTTGAACACTTGAACTACATTGAACTACAATTCCTCACCTAAGACTTCAAGACCCTCAGGAGGGAAGTCCTTGACATTTCAATCTCTGAATTAAAGAGCCACCGCCTGGGAGCTGCTTGGACAGCGGACGCTCGGAGCCCTTCGCCGTGGCAATGTAGATCTCGGAGCCACATTGTGTGGACCAGGACAGCCTGGTCGCATGTGATGCAACAAATGTCCTCTGCAATAACCCTGCTCTCCTCCTCCCTCTTAACTTTCGGCTTGCCTTCTATCATCATCAATTCTGAGCCATTGCTGATTCCCTGCATGCGGCCTTCGTCCCGTAGCTCCTCCCCACCCCCAGAACCCCTGAGCCCCATCTCTCCCCTGACCACTTCTTCATTTTTCGCATATGCAAAGGAAGGTCCAGCCAACTGAAAATGAACTCTTCTTGACGGGAAAAGCACAACCCCAAACAGGTTGCATTACACCCCACCCTGTAGTCAGAACCTCACATCTTTATCCCAGTCGCACTGACGCCCCATCGTCGGCCGCAGTTATTTGCTCCTTCACCGGTCCCCTAAGCGCAGTCGTAGTCGAAAACGCCTGCGTCGAGTAGCCCCTGGACTGAGGCCTCAGCTGCTTATGGAACGTTTTCATTCATGACCGCTTGCAGAATTTTCAAAAACAGCAAATCGTACCCAGGAACTGGGATGCCACCTTGCCCGAGCTAGCTGGTCTGTTGACTCCCTTTTCAAGCACCAGGTAGGAATGGACATAGTCCATTCCATTTTTGCTGGGATCCTGGATATGGCACATCATGAAATGTAACCTACGTAAATCCTCCTCTCGTGCTCAGGTGGCCGGCGAACCGGAGGAGAGCCGGATCATAATGCCATTTATGCCTCATGATTCTTGGGAGAAGGCAGAGAAATGCCTTGAATCCACGAAAACTGAGGATGGCTTGAGATGCCGAAGGCAATCAGCGAAAGCTTGTCGACAAGGAGAGGGAGAAAGAGAGAGACAGAGGTGCGGCATGAATAGAGAGAGCGAGAGAGAGAGAGAGAGAGAGAGAGAGAGAGAGAGAGACAGTGAGAGTGAGGCTGGCTGAGACAGGCTTGTCGGCGCATTCTTGTGAGATTTGCCGGGTTTCTGCCCTCTTCACCGGCAGGGCTACCTGAAGCTGCAACTTCAAGTTGGATCACTCAAATCCCAACCCAGAACAGTGTACGTAGTCCTTGGCCACATGGTCTGCGTAAGATGCGAAGAGTTCATCCACGATGGCCTCCTTTTCCTACCACACTTATGAGCATCGCAAAGAATGCCCATGGCGTGCCAATACTAGAGGCAATGCTGAATCCTGCGCAGGATAAACTATGATCCCACAGAGTCCTGCTGACTGCGCGTGTTTGCCAATCCGGCCAAGAAAGTAGAGTTGGACCATGTGCGCGTGGTGGGCACATAATGAGCGGCCTGCGAAGAACCATCGCTTGATGAAAAACAAGCCTTAGCCTTTTCATTGAAAGCATGACAAATTGCATGGTGCCTGCTCGGAGGGTGTACGCTTGGAGGGATCTGCTAGCCAGCCATCGAGGTAGGGGCACGGCACGATGGCAGTCTCTGCCTCCATCATTTTCCTTGCTTCCGCAGCAGGTGCAGCGATGTTGTAAGATTTTATGGCATCATTCAGCTTGTAAACCTAACCTCTTTCACAGTTTCCGTGCAATTGAAAAAAACACAAGATTCCACCAACCTCTCCAGCCTGTGTCAGGTGCCACAGAATGCGCACATTTACTGACACACGTTCGGTTCCAATGCAGGTGAGGTTCAAGCCGCCAAAAGCACCAGCCTTGAAGGGAGCCGTGCACTCCTCCAGCGACCGGTAGTGGTTCGGAAAGTTTGTGGCCTGTAAAATCAGTCATCTTTTCGTCATGTACGCATGCTGATAAACAGCGCCAATCTCCCATGCGTCTGCACAAAAGTTGGACACTCAGCATGAAAACTTTTGTGGGCTAATTTGCCGAGGCTGGTCCAGCCTCAGGCTGTTTGGAACTGTGGAAAAAACTCTCTCTCCTCCCCTTGCTGACCACCCAAAACCCTCACAATCCAATTCCCGGACTTCAACGCCCCATCTCACCATCTTGGCGGGTAGCCTGTATGAGTGCTTTACTTTCTGTGCACCGCAAGAGCCGAGGCGGGTGCGCGATAGCACTTACGATCATGTAATCCATAGCAAAGAGCTATGTCGCATGTCAATCTCAGAGGCTATCGGTCAAGACTTCTGGTAGCGTTTAAAGCTAAAAGCGCAGGGCAGACATGGCTACAGGATGCTCTTGGCTGATTCAATGCAGTACTGTATGACATAGATTTGGCAGGGGGAAGCCGTGCCACACGGGACGGGCAAGGCAAGCATACATGTAGCACGTTTTGCGAAAGTAGCTAGTCAATAGGAGGCACTAGGACTATGAGCTCCTGGACCTCATAGGGCGGACACTAAGTGCATATCAGACACTAGATGAATTTGAAGAACTCTAGCATCCATGCTCTGAAGAAAAAGCGCAGCTGTTGCCCTCTCTGTTTTCGCTGCGCTGCACCCCTCATGTTAATGAGACGTTTTGGCCTTTTTTCCCTCGCAAGCCTAACCTTCCTTGAAAGAAATGGCCTGAAATTCCTCGGGCGTCACAAGGCTTTGCCAGATCTCTGCGAAGTGATGGTGCATGGATTCTGTGCGGGGTGAGTAGCCCAGGAAGTGGCCATTGGCATCCTTGGCGAAGTTGGCGATGATCAAACGTGCTCCAGGTCTAAGCTCACGTCCGCGGGCAGTGAGGATCCGCCGCCAGTCAGCATCTGCCTGCTGCTGGAAAGCCCGAAGTGTGTCCGGGTCCTGCCGTGATGGGGATGCTTTATGATGCTTTATGCCACTGGCTGATAGTACTTCTGGTTACTCTGGTCTTTGTTCACGTCCTTTGTGCATGCGGAATGCAAGGCATCTGGGATTGCTGCTGGCGCTGAAGTCAACCAGTGAAAAGCAGTGGCCGAGAACGCAACATCCACGGTCCCCGGGGCACAACATGCGTTGTAGAACGAAGTGCCGGATGCCAGGACAAAGCAATCCAGGTCGCTGAGACCTGCCTCTGCATTTGGTGTTGCCAAGGTGCCCTGAGCTCTTGCGAAAACAGAGTTCCAGTCATTCCCTGGCTGATCCTCGTAAATGACTTCGATTGGCACATTGCCAAACTGCGGCGTGGCTTTGACAAGCTGAATGCACTCGCGCACCAAGGGCATGGACGTGCCTGCATTGGCTGCGAACCCTGTCACCCAAAAAGCCAAGACCAACAGTCAAAACGAGTAGCTTGTTCAAGCACATGTAGGCCTCCCAACCCTGCACCCCTTTTGAAAGGCACTCATTCCTCATCATGCGTCAGAACCAAAGTTTGTGAATGTTTCGCTAGGAGCTAATGCAATCATTGAACAAAGACGGGGGAACTCTCTCAAGGGTCTCTCGGCCAATTAACGTATTAAGCCCACACTCACAGACTCACACTCCTTCCAGCACATTCAAGTAGGCCTGCATCCGCTGTGCCCAAGTCAAGGATGCGGAATGGGCTTGAGAAGTCTCTCTCAGCTGCTCGACGCCCCAAGGCTGCCTCTACACCTCAGGGCCGCGGGCCAAGGCTTCTGTGGCACACATCGGACAAGTGACGATGCTGCAAGCAGAAAGATCCACAAAGGCTTGAAATCCTAAAGCCAACCACTCAGCGCCGCAAGATGAAATGAGCATGCGCTCATCCAGCCAGGAAGGTTGAACATGTTTTGTGCCATGCAGCGTGCAGCAAGAGCTCATCACGGGTTCTTACAGGCCTTCAACCTAAGTCGCCTCGACCCATGCAGAGCTTTGTCCCAAGGTTTTGCAACTGATGGTTTGGGCTAGCGATGGCTGAATACAGTGTCTCAGAACTCAAAAATTCCCTTCAGGCGCTTTCCCTAACGTTTCAAGTATCTTCAAGTTACACGAATCATCAGATTTAAAGTGGAACTCCAAAGCTTCTGATCGAACTTCTGACCGGCACGACACCTTTTAGCACCGGAGAGCGCAAGCGGTTGATGACATCGAAGCAGCCACGGGTTGCATCGGTGTAGAAGCCGCTGCCTCTCAGGTGCGCGCATCTTCTCCAGATTAGGTCTGCGGCCCTTCTTCGCATTTCCCTGCCTTGCTTCCCATAGGGCGAGTGCTTGGAGGATGCCTCTGCCAGTGTAGAAGCCCAGCGCCGCAGCTTCACTTGGCGTTGCGCGCGCGAGCCTCCCCACATCCTGCACTCTACCTGAGCGGTGCCTTCAAGGAACTGCTTGCACTAATTAAGCCAAACAAAAGCTGCCGGGTTGAGGATATCCGCACGAGAAGTTTTTGAGGTGCTCACCGGAAGGGCTTGCTATGCAGCGCAACCCGACCAAAACCAACACTTATCAAAATTATTGATCATTTATCTAATTCTGGGAATCTACCCCTCATAACTCCAGGAATGCGAAACACAGGCATGCATCTTTCCTTCCTGGATTCGTATCCGAGCGGTGATTCTTCCTCTTTTAATACGAATTGTTGTGCAAGGCCTTGGGAATCCTTCTTGGCGTGAACATGTGGCACCGTGTGTGCAAAGTGTTGTTGGCACTTTTCTTGTAGGGCTTGGCACAGCGAAATGTTGCTTGCTGGGCAGTGAGCCCGACAATCAGCCAAAGCCATTCAGTTTTACCAGGGTTCTATGGCAGGCAAGGATTGCGGAGCGTGGTAATTCCTGGTAAACACCATCTGTTAGCTGGGATCGTAAGGCACGATTCCGGTCCGAAGGCAGGCTGCGGAAGAGTCCAATCACATGGGAGCCATCCGTGAGTGTGAATGTACCCGGTGTGCACGGGTTGCCCGGACAAAAGCAAACCGCTTAGGGAGTATGAGGCTTGCCTAAATATTCTTGGCTTTGCACAGCGTCCAGAACAGAACAAAACTTTGGTTTGGGGTCAGTTAAATTAAGGTCTAGTGCCGGGTTCTAAGCTTGTCTGAATAACCCAGCATGAAGTGCGTAATACCTTCACCAATGACTCCAGTGAGCTTTCAACCCAATCCCTAAAGTAATTTGTAACCTGTCCTTGTTTTAAAGCACGGAACGTGATCTGCGGCTTGCGCCTATCATGAACTGGCAGAAAGCATATCAACGCTCTTTGAGCTGACTGGTCTTGGAAGCTTGAAGCTAGCGTGTCAAGATGTTAATGAGAAACCAGCAATTTTGGAAAGGAAGGCAACAGACAGCCTCTGGCGTCGTTCTTGCCTTCTTGCCTCTTTGTGGGCATGCCGTTGTTGAAGATGCTCATGCTTGAGAGCTTCAAGAGTGCCAAGACAAAGCTGCGGGATTTCAGTTTTCAATCTCCTGTGCCGTTCCTGGCACTTGCGATCTCTAGACAGACTCAATGTTGAGCTGATGATTGGGGGCCCCTCACATTAAGGTTAGGCTGGCAAAACGTCTTGTCAACTCCGCCACGGCTGAGAACTTTGAGATGTGACCGTAGCCACTGTTTGTGGACTATGGTCGTTGGCATCATTCAGCGCGTCCCATAAGCTTATCTTTTCCTTCTTGAACTGGAAAT